GCGCGTGCACGTGTCTTAGCGTGCGCACATCTGGGCCACATCTGGACTGAAAACCGCGTTTAATAAAGAAACGGTTCAAATAAATAAATAAATAAATAAATAAAGGTGAAAATGACGATAGTTTGTTTTTTTCTTTGGTTTTAAAGTGACATTCAGGTTAACTTCCTTTTTCTTTTTTTTTCTTAAGGGATCAGGTTGGGTTATTATCTGGTTATTATCTGAAAACGAAAAATAGAGACAGACACAATTAAAATCCTTCATAATGGGACAGATGGTTAAATCCACTGACAGATAAAGAGCAGAAAGGCCAGTTTCCTTCTTTTACAGGCGAGATAAGATGCTGTTTTTTAGATTAAATTTAATAGTTTTGGTCCGTTAAAAAATCCTTTTTCTTTTAAACGTGCACGACATCAACAGATTTATAAAATATATATATATGGATCATTAACGCTTCCAGAGTCAGAAGCTGCTGCAAATAAAAACGCTTTAATTCATTTAATTTAACTTTGTAATCATCATTATTGTTGTCAATTATAGTGGTTTTATTATTATCAGTAGTTTAATATTCAGGATGTTGGTCAGAAATCCTAAAACACCGTTAAAAATAGCTGTTATCTAAAATAAAATACTGTTAATAATAGCTGTTATTCATCATAAAATACTGTTAATAATAGCTGTTATTTAACATAAAATACTTTTAATAATAGCTGTTATTTACCATAAAATACTGTTAATAATAGCTGTTATTCAACATAAAATACTGTTAATAATAGCTGTTATCTAACATAAAACACTGTTAATAATAACTGTTATATCTAACATATAATACTGTTAATAATAGCTGTTATTTAACATAAAATACTGTTAATAATAGCTGTTATTTAACATAAAACACTGTTAATAATAGCTGTTATTTAACATAAAATACTGTTAATAATAGCTGTTATTTAACATAAAACACTGTTAATAATAGCTGTTATTTAACATAAAACACTGTTAATAATAGCTGTTATTTAACATAAAATACTGTTAATAATAG